AAATGAAGTTAAATGGACTAATTAAATGATTAATATCGAAATAAAGGTGAATTGTGCGAAATATCGAACGTCAACTCTTATTTTTAACATGATCAATGAATTTTCAATTTGTTGCTAATCCTGTGTGTCGCTATGACTTCAATGATGTTCTTTATTCTGTTCACAATTAGGCTATAACTTTAGAGAATAAAAAATTGACATTTCAAGTCACTTTCATTCAGAACTTTCCAATAGTTTCAATTATTCGCTAAAGTTGAACAAAATGGTGAGCATATTCTTCGAAAATTTTATTATTGAACAGATTTTATAGGGATCGCAAAATATAAATATAAAAATAGTCCGAATGCAACGTTATTTCAGGTGAAATAAAACGGGTAGGCAACATATTGAAAAGTCGCATTTGATGACGACGGCTTCACAAATTTCGGTTGCAACAACATGGTAATCAGATTACAATGTTTTACTTGGTAGAGTCTGAGTTCAATTCGAATTTTCACCGCAGTCACGGGAAGAATGGAAATTACTAATGCAAAATAAATATTATTTCCACTTTGTAATCATGAAGGCATTAATTGCAAATAAAAAATTAGATATTAAATATTAATTATTTCGTACTCGTCTACTCAATAAGGTAAAAAACATTATTTTTGAAATGGCAATGAAAGAAACGATCAAATTGAACATTCATTACCTGAAAAAATTAAATATTGTATTTTAATTCGATTCATTCAAATGTGTCACTTGAAATATATGCCTTTTTCGCAGGAAGAAAACTCTGATTAATTTTATTTATATTATTTAGATTTTCAATTTGCAGACCCAACCAAAATGTGGTTTCCTAAGGAACACAAATGATATAATCTCATGTGTTGCTTTATGGTTGTATCAACCAAATATATCTGCGATTCGAGAAAAGCATTTTAGTGGCATTCTTAAATGAAAAAATTTATTAATAATCGATTTAAGTACTTACAGCCAACAAAAGCCCATCAGATCATTTGGTGAGAATGTCAAAAAATAGCTAACTAGTTGATTCCAAGTAATATTATTCCCAATTTGACTTTAGGGTCCAATTAAGTGTATTGTGTTTATTTGTCTGGAATTAGAGTCGGAATGTCCAAAATATAAAAGACGAAATAATTAACGATGAATAATATATAAAAAAGGACTATTTAAATGTGATTAAATATAAGTTTCTGAGAGGTGAAAATTAATGCGATTTCAACTTAGAATTCATGGAGACACAAAGTTTACTGTTTTACTTATTTAGCATCAACAATTTGTAAGCAAAGTCAAAGAAATCGAAATCTACACGTGTAAGTAATTGGTGATGAATATGGTTTTAGTTTTGAGACGGCTCTCAAGTCTAATTAAACATTTTAAGTGAAATTCTTCTCAGACACACTTCTACAATTCACTTAATCAGATTGCCTACAAAATGAAGTCAGCTTGCAAAAGTAACATGTCATGATATTCTTAATGGATTAAAAAAATATCACAAGCCATTTTGATTTGAATTCTATTTAGGTTGTGCTAATTTTACGGACTGAAAATGGGAAATTCGTATGGGAAAAGCACATTAGAAGAAATGGATGTAAAGGAATCAAAAGGGAATAAATTGCTCAATTTAATGGCTTCAAAATGCAAGTAATGCCGACTTAAATGATAATCAAAATTTATATATATTTGGATGAATGTCATAAAATTGGATAAACAACTCCAAGTGGATACTGGCATTTGCTCTTTCAATAACATCGTTAGCACATTCCCACGTTGGCCAATTACCGTTAAAAATCAAAAGTTATGTTCTGTTTTCAAGGCATTATAATTTGAATTTAATGCGACAATTGGAACTAAAATTCATAATGTTAATAACGCCTATTAAAAATGTAATTGTATTCCTCCTAATATCGTAGGCACTTCATATGTTATTCACATCGAAGTCATTAATGTTTCTTCTTCAAAATAAAGAACTTAAATAATTCCAATTTTTAACTGTAAGTTTGATTTATTGAGCAATGAATTGTTAAAGTAAGTTTATGGGACAAAGTTTTACACATCTCCCATTCACAACCGCCAAAGTGAGAGTAAATGTCAAGGGGCTATGCAACAGAAGGTTGACGGACTTTCAAACGACCTTCCTTGATACCATATTGATAATATTTTACTCCTAATTGGTTCGTAATTAACATGCAACATGAGTACTCAATTGGTGGAAAGTTGCATTTATCTGATATATTAAAGTTTTCACGATTGGCTACCCAAAATGTATTTAAATACTGCGAATTTTCAAGAGCTTTTAAAATAGAAATTGAAAACTAATTTCAATTCCAATTTGGTATGTTTCGTCTGTTTAAATGAATTCTTTCACGCTAAGAAATAAATATGTAAGCCTATTGTACTCAAAATTCATATATATAGATATACACTTTTCATTTTTAGATGGAGATAATGATAAAAATATCCGTAATTGCTGCTTTAATCGCATGGCCATGTTCGGGTCAAATGGTTGCTGAAAATCGCACACGGATTGTAGCTTCCCACAATGAAATTCGTTCCAAAGTTAAGCCAACAGCAGCAGATATGTGGCAAATGGTAACTTCAAGTGCATCAAACTGGCAATTTAGAATTGTGTTGAAATTGCACTACTACTGTTAATTTTATTTCAGAACTACAACGAGTCTTTGGAAGAAGAGGCTCAAAATTTGGTTAACTGTTATGATGCTGCAGAAAATCACTTGAACAGGAGTGTAAATATCGCAACTGAAACCGAGGTATCATGGAATAATACGATATATACGTGGCTAGGACAGGGAGCAGTATACAATCATACAAAAAATGAATGCAGTGGAGATAAAATTTTCTGCAAACATTACAAACAGGTAGAATTATGAAATATATGAAATGATGTGAAATATTTGTCGTTTTAGGTTGTTTGGGCGGCTGCAAGGAACGTAGGATGTGCAAATAAAACCTGCGAAAGTCCTAATGGGAATTATATCGCAATGCTCTGTATATATGATGAAGGGTGAGAACAGCTTATTTTACTTAACCTACAATGCAGAACCTAATTCATATTTGAGCCCTAATTAAATTTTAGTCCAAATGAACATAGTGCACAACCCTACACAGAAGGTAATCCGTGTGACATGTGCCCAAATTTGTGTTCTGACAACTTATGCACTACTAAAACTACAAGTGAGAATTCTTCAACAACATGGATCTCATTCTCGGGAGGGCTCGTTATGTTGGCTTTATTAATTGGAAACCACTTTAATTAAAACTCAATTTCCTTTCCATTTTCATAACATTTGACACATTTGTGATTCGTTTAACATAAAATAAATAAAGTTCTATTGATAAATAAACAATGTACTAATATTTTGATTATTTCGAAATCTGCTTGCAAGTTTAATATTTATTTGTTTATATGAAATGGTAGGCTTTATGATATTTATCATTAGCCCTTAAACTTTGAATTCAACTTCCCCAAAGTTTGGGGGGAGGGTACATTTATAGCAGTTCATTAGCTCTCTTCTTGCTTCCCAGTATCTCTGGTTTTCCGTCATTGTCTTCAGAGTTGGACACTGAATCAGGTGGGTCCTCTCCATTTCCTCCTGTAGGTTACATAAGGGGCATGTGGGTTGAGTGCATACTCCCAATCTGTGAAGGTGTTTTCCCAAGCAATCGTGTCCGTTACGTAGTCTAAACTCAGCAAAAGCTTCGATTCTTGGCCAGTCGGCTATGTCGGAAAGTGCTACTGTCCCCTGTTTCTCCTTTGTTTGAGCTTTAATTTCGTTGCACCTTGAGGTCTGGAATTCTCTTCTGTTTAAGGCCTTCATTGTGTGGAAAGACATCGGCCGGTCTATGCATTGCAAAATTGTTGTCCTTTTCTTTGCAAGTGTGTCATCAAGCTCATTGCCTTTAATGCCACAGTGACCAGGAATCTATTGTATGACCACTGTTTTGTTTTTCTCTCTCAGCAGCTCATAGGGTTTTCTACATTCCTATATCTCAGCTGCTTTGGTTGGCTCTCTGCTTTCAATTGAGTTTATTGCTGACTCTGAGTCCGAAAGTATCACCGCTTTGGTGAATTTCGTATCCAGGCAACATAATTGGCATAGTGCTATCCTAATAGCCTCTATTTCTCCTTCAAAAGTGGATCAATTATGTCCCGCTGCTGCGTAGAAAGAGAAGAGTACAGAAAAGGCACCTGCACTAATCTTTGCTTGATTTTCTATGTATGACCCATCAGTACAGACTTGGAGCCATTGATCTGCAGGATAGTTGACATTGATTGTCTCAAGTGCCAGTGAGCGCATTTGTTCTGGAGGGGTGTTTGATTTCCTGAAGAAGTCAAGTAGTTAGATGCAACACACTATATCAGTGTCTGCTAATGGGTTCATGGG